TATGAAACTTTTCTTGTTATAACAGCTACTGCTAATAGAGTGATATATTTAACAGCAATTATACGCACAGCCCAATAGTTTAGTATACATACGTTTTTATTCGTTTTTGAAAAGAACAAAAATTGAAACTTTATAGCCCCCCTATCAAAAAAAACGCTCCGACGTCCTTGTTATAGACTGGTTTATTAYAGTTTGTCAATAGAACGATTTCTCATTACTCACTTTAACATAACAAACTTTGTAAATCTGAGATGGAACATTCACCGCTCTTGCATCTAATAATTGATACTATTGATAATCCATATCTTCTCCTCTCAACTTTTTTTTCAGTGACTTTTGGAACAAACTTGATGTGGTTACTATAGTGCTGTACATGATCACTTTCATTTCCCGCCTTGTAACGTGGTCAGTGACGTCACAGCTCATTGCTAATGACTGGCTCGTCGTTTCATCCTATTTGTATGGTATTAACGCCGCTTTGCTAAGTCTGAGGGTCTTTGGACAAACAATGGAAGTAAAAAAAACAACTGGGACAAAACAAATTGCCTTACTGCGAATAATCAGTGCAGTGCTTGTGATCTTCGTACAGATGGTTGCAGCCATTTTAGGATTCTCTTTGATTCTTACAAAAATCTACATCAGCGAGATTTCATACGTGGGGAATACAACAACTCATGGGTAAGTAGATGTGTTACATAGTATCGTTTTTGACATGACTTAAAATTATTCCAGTTACTTCTACCTTGTATCCAGTTAATTCTACCTTGACCCAGTTACTTGTATTCAGTTGCATCTACCTTGTATCCAGCTACTTCTATCTTGTTTGAAGTAGCTTCTACCTTACATCCAGTTACTTCTGCCTTGTTTCAAGTAACTTCTACCTCTTTGAAAAAGATCATCTAGTCATTATGTTTGCTACGGAAAAGTTTGATCATTACATCTTTGATCGAGAACTCCAAATTGATCACAAACCCCCTTATGCAACATCTTGAATCCACTACACAGAGACTCACCAAGGTTATAGTCCATGCTACTTAGATAATGCACCAAATTAATATCATTTTAAAACGTGGTTTAAAAATTCATATGGCTGATACCTCGTCAAGTGATTATCTGTCAGCAGATATAGAATTGCAGCCAGAGGCAGTGCTATGTAATACATAATGTAGTCCATGAATTAAAACAATCAAAAAATTTGCCCCAGCTTAAAACCAGATCTAACCCTGACAAAGTCTAATGATTTGTTTGCCGCAAATGTAGAGGAGACTAATGGTCGGAACACACAACAACAATTACAATGAGAGGATGTTCCGAATACACCATTTCGCGGATAATAATTCGAAATTTTACATTGCATCGTTATGGTAAATCATTAATGGCCAGAAAATCCGGATATTTGAGCCCGCAATCGCAGCGGTACTTCGCATAAATGCATAAAAACATGTTTGTAAATTTTACAAAGAAATGTATGGATCAAAAAAAATATTTGAGAATAACATTTCATCTGTTTTAACTGGAAAGATTCCATAGATGAATTCGTAGAGGGAAACTATTCTTGATTCCACTGTAGGAAATCCAAATAAATCCAATATTGTTAACAGCGTCCTTTTTGACAATTTATTTTCCTTTCGTCGTCTCCCTTTGGCCTTGTATCTCATGGTGAAAATTCGCGAAGAAGCGAAATTTCACCGTAGCTGATCGTGTTCCTTTACATGTCACTGATATTCCATAGATCATTTCTCAAAGTCCACATATTGAGGTAGGAACACAGCGATTTTCAGCTATTTTGAAGACGATCAACAGCGTCCTTTTTGGTACTAGAAATCGTACAATTTGAAAACACTAACTTGACGCTGAAATGGCTGGCGAAGACGCGTGTTTCACGCGAATACTTGGCCTGATCTTCCATTTTATTATCCATGTTTGGTACCAAAATAAACCTTAGAAACAAGGTTTCTAAAATAGGAAGGCTTTTTTTTCGAAAATTCTTTAATAAATGTGGTTGAAATCTCTGGGAGATCTAGAAGACTTCGGTGCCAAAACTCCGAGTTGCTACTAGCGGACGCCATTTTAGTTTACCACGCGTGGCCTCGCTTTCGTGCTAAAATTGAGTGACGTCAATCCAATATGTCGGGACGCGATAAAGGCGAGTTGTAGCTCGAGTGGTATTCATCTCGCCGGCGCTCGCCGATGTTTATCCAGAACCGAAGTTTAATTATAAAACTATATTCATAAATCGTTTACTTAAAATTCTATTCGTTAAGTAATTATAATTTGATTAGTCGTTAATTATATCTTTCTGTATTCGTCTTCACAATCAATCTTCGAGTTGTGTTGCCATTGGCGGCTTGATTGGTACTAGAAATTTGAAAACACTAACTTGACGCTGAAATGGCTGGCGAAGACGCGTGTTTCACGCGAATACTTGGCCTGATCTTCCATTTTATTATCCATGTTTGGTACCAAAATAAACCTTAGAAACATGGCTTTCAGACTGGGACTGCTTTAATTTTGGAGGTTTTTACTGGCGCCTTGCATGCGCGCACTGGTAAATAGCGCAGATAGCGGGAAATACGAACGAAAGATAGGCCAATCAAGTCTAGTGTAAACAATGCCAGACCTTTTAAATTCCTTAGAAATGTACAAGTATGAACTCAAGGATCAGGGTGTGCTATCCCAATACTCGTTTGTCGGTGTTTTGAACGTTCCGATTTTAGCCCAGTATTGTATTAAGATAAAGGATCGTTGCACAAGAGTAGAAAATTTGATCTTCAAAAGTTCAAACCACAAGGGAACTTGTAGAAAGCTCTATTGGTGGGAAAACCCGCTGTCTCGTCCCGGGCTCAAATGTCCGGAATTTCTGGCCATGGACATCACTGGAAAGAGCGTCATGCAATCGGCACTTTAGCCAAGTTTGAAAATAATCTGATTAAAATTCAAAGAGATACGGCACTTCAAAAACACTACATTTTGCTTAGCGCTGTATCTCCTAGAATTTTCATCGAATCATGCTAAAAGCTTTTCGTTATTTGCTCAATTTCTAATAGCTGTGTTATCCGCGAAGTGGGCTTTTGATAATCGTTAAATGCATGCTTTTGAGTGTTGTAGGTTTGAGTAAGTATCTCATATTGCAAACAAAACAGTATTAAAAAAAGACATATATGAACACTAATACGTACACATTTTGTTAATAGAGTTTGCTTATCATCTGATGGAATCGATTGGTAAGTATGAACACTTAGATATTTTTAATCATTTACATCGTATGATATAAAAAATGTTTTTGGTAGTGCGCTTCAGTACAGTAGCCCTGAAGTGACTATTTTGTTGTTCAGAATTTCTTTGAACGCAGTCCTTTATATTTGTTTATAAATGAAGACTGATTCTTTTGCGTATCTAAGGTTTTTAATCTTCAAACCAAGCTTTCGGCCTTAGCGGCTTTATAATCATGATATAAGCTTCAAACGCTAGGACTAGGGTTTGCAGTGAAATTCAAGACCGAGGGCCGCATTGAATTTCAATGCTAACCCGATTCCGAGGTTTTGAACTTGTCTATAACCTTACCAAACTCTTTTCTTGCAGTTGGTGGCATTTGTTTGAGTTCCTTGCATGGTCTACCGTTGGTTCTAGCGATCCAGATTTGCTAACATTGACAACTGGTGTATCAAACTATTTCAGCAAAATCTTTTACATGTTGTTTCTAATCGTTGCTGCTGTGATGATCATGAACATGTTGATCGCCCTTTTATCAAACACATATCAATTGGTTGAGGTAAGTACAAATTAAAACAGTAAAACTTGACTGAAATACATCAAAGAAAATATTCAATTAAATTAAACCCAAGAGAAGAATTATATTATTAGCACCACATTTAATGTATAACTTAACAAGGGCCGCGGAGACGGGGGAAAAATAATAATAAATGAAATCGGTAAGACTAAAATAAAAAATACAAAAAAATCGATGATAAAGAGTTCGACTATATTGTGACGGCATCAAGTTCGAAACGTTAAAAGAGTCAACTTCGCATGCCTCCGGACCCCCCTATAAAAATCGAGCGTTCGGCGCTCACCGCCTCCCCCTCCCCCACACAAATTTGACAGGTCCGCGGTCACTGCTTAATAACAGATGAGCCAAACTGTATTCGGATTTAAAACGATTCATGAAAACTGTGGCGTTAATATCAAAATTTTATTCAAGTTCCGTTGTCGTGTTCATTTCTTTTTTTTAAGGAAAATGCACATGCAGAGTGGTGTTACAGAAAGGCGTGTATGATCAAGACATACTGCAATTATCACCCGGTACCAGTTCCTTTCAACATCATTACCCTGTCCATCAAGCTGTTTGTGTTACTTCTTTCAAGAATCAACTGTAGACTTAAATGCGTGGAGGTGTTTAAGCATTGGAAAGGCGGACGAAAAAAGAGTCAAGATGTTGCCAAAAAAGTAATTTTGTTTAATTTTTAAATCTTAAAAAAGGGCAGGATCAGATATAGACTAGTGATAAATTGTTTTTAAACAGTTATAACACAGCACTGTACTAAAAGACATAATTTGTTTTGCTTCTAATATATAATGACGAAATATATTATGGGGGAAGTGTCTGTCGCATAATTGGGTCCACCCCATCGATTCGCTCCTGTGATGCACGGACTCAGCAAGGCCGAGTGATCAGATCGCTGTTCGCAATTTTGCGGTCCCACTTTCGATTCTCGGTATGACGACTACCTGAGAATGAGTTTGTTCAAGTTTCGATCACTGTTTCTCGGCCATGCTTGTAATATAGACACTACTTCGCCTCCTCGGTAGTTGGAATCTTATTTACTTTATGTTGCGTATGCTTTGCGTTCTTGAGTTTTTTTTATAGGCGCATTTGATCATAGTGGTGGGAACTAGCGGTAAACTAGTGTGAGCTGCGTCGGTGTTTCTAAAGAAACAATTGTGTAAAAAGATAAATTAAACTCCGTAAAACAGTATATGAAATAACTTACTGACGTTTCGGACGTTAATCCTTCGTCGGAGTAAAGAGATAGAACTATATGTATAGTGCATGGAGATGCGTTCCTTTTTTCTTAATCGTAACTATCCTCCAGATGTCATTGATCAAGCTCTGCGTAAAGTCTCTCTCATTGATCGTAACACTGCTCTCACACCTAAAAAAAATATAAGGTTCGTATGACCGTATTCCTTTCACTCTTACGTATCATCCTATTAACAGTTCTATTAAGCCTATTATTAACCGTAATTACTTCTTACTCACTTCTGAAACTAACACTTCTCACATCTTTAACGACCGACCCCTTTTTTCTAATAAACGTGTCCGTAACCTTCGTTCTTTCCTAGTCAAAGGTGTWTTTCATTCTAATAATGATCCTGGCACTTTTCGTTGCTCACGTAAGCGCTGTAACACTTGTCCGCATATTGTCTCGCACTCTTCCATTGTTGGTCCTAACTCTCAAAATGACTGATCACTTTGATTGTACCACATCTAATGTTGTCTATTGCATTAAATGTTCGCTTTGTAATTTGTTGTATGTCAGCGAAACTGGCCGTCGTCTTGGCGATCGTATCCGTTAACATCTTTGTAGTATTCGTAATAATGATCTTAATAAGCATGTTTCCCGCCATATTAACCTACMCAACCATTCACTTTTTAACTTTATTGTTTTTGGTTTGTCTTTGATTAGCGGCATTAATGATTGTCGCAAAAAAACAAAGAAATGCGGCTCATTCACCAATTGGGCACTTATAATCCCCATGGGTTGAATGAACGCTTTGTTTTCAGATAAGTTTTWATTCTTTTGTTYCCKTTTTAGCACCTTTATTGTTCTTTTGTCTAACAAACTTCCTTTGCTTTTTTTGTTTATTTCTCGTTACCATGCCTACTTTGCTCCTATTGGTCTATTCTCTTTGCTACTCTTACTATATAAACTCACACTATACCTATTTCTCTCTCTTTACTCCGACGAAGGATTAACGTCCGAAACGTCAGTAAGTTATTTCATATACTTTTAACAGTGTTTAATCTATCTTTTTACACAATTGCATTTGATCATATCACATGCAAATTTGCGCCATATATATAATTGATGCTGGTGATTATCAATATTGACTTTATTATTCAATGTTTTGAAATATACATATCAGGGATGAAACTTTAATTTTATAGAATTTGATCAAAATTGGCATGCTGCTCAATGCAGAATATTTAGCTGAGTTTGGGAATGGTTTTCCTCTTCAAGGTTTGTATTGTCGTTAAGTAATGTCTAGGGAGCACTCATCGAATTAAGTGATTGTAATAGATTTGGGAAGCAACATATCAGTCCAATATCACAACATAGCAATGGTGACAGAGCTAATACCAAATACTATTATCGATAAAATGGCATCTTTATTGTGCTGCTATAAGTTCGATTTTATAAATGAGAAGTCCAACTTGAACGAACTTCAATTCATCCGCGCTTTAAAACGAAAATGCAAAACAAACATGATAATAGTGAATTATTAAACACACAGACAATAATCCAGTTTCGAATTCATAGCGCAAAACCGCTGCTTTATTTGACAGCAGATTCTCTTGCGCAAACACCTTACAAATACAAAAGAGAGCACGAAAAAATGTCGTTATAACAATAGACTTGAAAATTTGCATTTTCCCCGAGTTGAGACTAACCCTGTATTCCCATGAGACCTAAGGTATGAGCCTTTTAGGAATACAGGGTTAGCCTCAACTCGGGGAAAATGTAAATTGTAAACGCTATTGTACAGGCAGCATTTTCTAGTGCTTTCTTTTGTGTTTGGTAAGTTCTTTGCATAAGAGAATCTGCTGTCAAATAAAACAGCGGTTATTCGCTTTGAATTGGAAACAGGAATATTCATGATGTTTTATTGTTTTTCTCCAAAGAATCAAAAGAAGAAAAGATACTAAAAAGAAATGAACGGTTTCTGAGGCATATTGTCAGAGAAAATTATTCAGAGGAAACTAAATTAAGCAAAAAATCTGTGAGTATGCAATAATAACATAAAATTTCATAAGAATAGTTAGAAACAGATTAATTAGATGAAACAAAAATTGAAATACTCTCAAATCAAATAATGTACTTTTAAAAGTATCTATAGAATTCTTCATTTTTAATATTCAGTCTTAGGCTGCATTCATTATGTATACCACAGGGGGGGGGGGGGGGGGATTTTGCTAGAAGGATTCCCCCAAAATCTCAGCAGTAATTTTCATATCCCCCCTAAATTTGTGCGATAGACATGATAGACATTTTATGTATGGCCAAAAAAATTGACATCCCTCATTTTCCAGTCCCTAAATTTTCAGATCCCCCCCAAATTTCCCCCCCCTTCTGTAGTATACATAATGAATGCAGCCTTACTTTATAAATTCGCTGTCGTAGAGAAAGGGACGGGACGTGCTAGAATCGATTTTGTGGTGGTTTGCATGGGTTTGTCTTATATATTACATTAAAAATTATCTTCTGAATCAGTAAAGGCTATAACTTGGAGCTGATTTGAGGATTTTTTTGATGCAAAAATCGTGAACAAGTAGAAAAGTTTCAAAGATAGATAGATATATATATATATATATATATATAAATTGAATAAATTGAAGAAAAAGGCACGCAACTTGCAACTATTATTCCTACTCTTTATTAGAACGTTTCGGCACTTCGGCCTTCTTCAGCAAACTGAGTGTTTTGCACGCGCCATTGCTACAAAAAMCAACGCKACTAACRRAAAACAMCAATATGCGCGCGCTCTACAGCGCGCGTAGCCAAAAAACACGCGCACTAAAATGCACGTGGGCTAGGACTAAATACTAAACTACATACACACCGATATATATATACATACAGCCTTTTGCAAAAATTATGAGAATTGTTGAAATATCTAAATATCATAATATCGAGTGCATGATGGGTAATCCCGCGCGATTCCCTTAGTCCCTTGTCTTTGTAGTTTTTTTTTTTTTTTGGCGACAGACTTATCCGTAGTTCTGAACATTTTCTCGATGTCAACAATGAATTATTCTAGCAAACCTTCGTGTTCCAGACAATATATGGATATGGATATTATGATATTTAGATATTTAGACAATTCTCATAATTTTTGCAAAAGGCGCAGCTAGAATAATTCATTGTTGACATCGAGAAAATGTTCAGAACTACGGATAAGTCTGTCGCCAAAAAAAAGCTAAACTACAAAGACAGGGGACTAAGGGCAGGGATTACCCATCATGCACTCGATATTATGATATTTAGATATTTCAACAATTCTCATAATTTTTGCAAAAGGCTGTATACATATATATATATACATATACATACAGCCTTTTGCAAAAATTATGAAAATTGTTGAAATATCTAAATATCATAATATCAAGTGTATGATGGGTAATCCCGCGCGATTCCCTTAGTCCCTTGTCTTTGTAGTTTAGTTTTTTTTGGCGACAGACTTATCCGTAGTTCTGAACATTTTCTCTATGTCAACAATGAATTATTCTAGCAAACCCGCGTGTTCCAGACAATATATGGATATGGATATTATGATATTTAGATATTTCGACAATTCTCATAATTTTTGCAAAAGGCTGTATACATATACATATACATATACATACAGCTGTTTGCAATAATTCTGACCCCCTCTGCCATATTTCATATATATCAAACTGACCTTTAATATTATGGGATATCATGACTGATATATTTTTTGAGTTGTCCAGAATGAGTACTTTCTAAAAAAAATATCGGCAATGGTATCCCATAATTTCTAAGGCTATTTTGATATGTATGAATATTAGTGTAGGGGGGTCAGAATTATTGTAAACAGCTGTACATATACACCGATTTCATAAAATAATGACACTCTTTAGATATATATACATATATATGATTTGTTGATATTTATTGTAAAACAGAGGCCCAAATTGCTGAAACTATCTTTGTTTATATTTGATGAAGGTTTTTGATGTGTTGCCAATCACTTAACGGCCTTTAGAAAGGTGATTTTCAAGGAAAAAGTACTGCAACATATATATGTATATATATTTCAGGAGTGTCATTTTTTTCTGAAATTGGTGTAGATAGATAGATAGATAGATAGATAGATAGATAGATAGATAGATAGATAGATAGATAGTTTTATTAATAAATCAACATTGCAGTCAATAGACTGAATTGCGTGATATTTACAAGTGATATTAAAATAAGGATAAAATATATAAATAGTAATAAAATGTCAGAAAATCTTAAAATTATGCTAGGATATAATGGTTTTAACAGTTTTTATGGTACGCCATTATGCTTGGTTTGCCATAGAGTAAATAAACGACGACCGTCTGAAACGTTCTGTATGGGAACGAGGCAAAGTATATGGCCTTTGACAATATTCAGTATCATTTAAATTTGGGAAAAGTAAGGGGTTGTTGAGGTGTGGGATTGGTGTTTGAGTTCATCTTTGATAACTAATTTATCGATGTGATCTTAATTCTTTTTATCTTTTTTCAGGAATGGGATGTCGTTGACAAAACGCGACCAGTGTTGGTGGAAAATCAGAGATTGTATATCCTGAAATGCGATGAATGCAATAACGATAACAAGACTGACAAAAACCATTATTGCACTCATTCGGTTCGTTATAAAGATAAATTGTCGAAGGAGACTCCAGGATTTGAGGTAAAGATAACTCTAACCTAATAACCATTTTAGAGAAAAGAAACAATATTTTGTTTTTTAAAATTGTTCAGGTCCTCATCGAATCCGCACGTAAACGCTATATTGCAATAGGACTAACCAGCGAGTACTATGGAAATTATTTCCCAGGATGGTTTGGAAATAGCGTTGGATACCACGCTGATACCGGTGCAATCCATGACGAGAAAAATCGTGACTATGGAGAACGGCCTGATGGTTAGTAACGTAAAGAAATGAAATAGGAGTTACAGGAGACTTTTAGAATATGCATGCTTCCGATACTAAGAATATGGCTGCACAGTACGCTTACATAGAATCGCCAATGGAAGTTAATATCGAATTATTTAAAACTCCCATATACCTATCTAATACTAGACATTTTCGTCATGTTGTTGGTATAGTCACAAATTAACCCTCGAACCTGCTCTGTTTAGAGTGCATCATTAAAGTCATGCATTTGGAAAGCATGCATATATTCTAAACGTCTCCCGTAACTCCACTACATTAAGTAATTTTTCTTGCAGGTCACGAGATTTTTTGGTATACTCGCTTTTGTTCAAATACTAAAAAAATTCCTTGTCCATTTTCATAATGAATGTGACAAATGATCACGCGATTTTGTTAAATTTAGATTCCATTCCAGCAATTGGTCCATTCGCATACTCTGGTGATATGATGGGCTGCAGAGTATTGTTTGACGAGCCGGCAACGGATGATGGGTATTTAGTAGAATTCACCCGTAACAGACGAATGGTTGGAAAAGCTCGCGCAAAACCTGAAAACCTCCATCCTTTTGTGGCAATGGGTCATCCAGAGATCAAATTGCTAGCCAGGGTAATAATTAAAAGCACATGCACAATACCTGTGGATGCCTTACGTGCCACCGAGGAAGCTAGATGAGCAAGCACAATAAGTTTGCATCACTTCGGAGTTATTCAGAGAAGAACATATTGTTTATGCCAACAAAAAAGTAGTGATCTTGACAAGAATAGAAAAGCTATACCAGATCTATAATTTCTATTTTTCATACCTTCCCCAGACAAAAGTTAAGAATTGAACACCCTTTTTGCTAACTCAGTCAAACGGAATTTACAGTGTTTCTGTGTAGACCGAATGCGCAGCTTATTCCAAACTTTACCGACCAAAAATTACCTCTACTCAGACTAAAACGACTAAATTGTAATCCGATCCCAGCAAAAAAACTATACCCTATACACGCATCAGGAGTTTCAGAGAACAATGTGTCCGCCATCTTGAAAAGTGAGCCCTGAATCACTGTTTTGCCTTAGAACAAATTTCATAGTTGCTTAGTCAACTAATCTATCATCATAACGTATATTATATTAGGTTTACATTAACTTAGAACCTTTTAATTTCTTTAGTAGTTATAATTTAGTGATTTGAGTCTCAACTTTTCAAGATGGTGGATGGATTGTTCTCCGAAACTCCTGATGCATGTATCCCAGCCAGACAAAATGTCAAAAACGGATTCCGTAACCCACACCTAAAAAACCGTAAAACCATACCTATAGTGCGGCACTTACTCGTATAGTAAATATAGGTTAGTAGGCCCCCCTTCCCTTCCCCCCCAGAAAAAAAGTAGAGAGAATGTTGGGACCATTTGTTATAATGGCATATTGCTATTTCTAAAAACTACTCAATAAACGAAGCTTGCCCCTACTTGGCATATTAAGAGTGAATGTCAGCATGCATCAAACAAATTCAAAAATTCGTGGTAAGTGTAAAAAATTAGATTTCGCTCAAACTTTCATATTTGGTACCTTATTATGTCTGATGAATCACTGTGGTGTTTTTATTAAAAAATATTTTTTCGTTTGCGAGATACGATTTTTTTTGTGAGAGAGGTCAAATATGCAAATTTTTGTTGTTTACAAAGAGTGAATTGTGTGCCCTCGCATAGCGAAAATACTTGACCTTTAGTGATTATACTTACACGTTGTGTTTATCATTATCTCAACCGTTCTCTGGCTGAAAATGAAGTCCTAAAAACAAACTAGTGATTTTTGACAATTTTTTAAATTATG